TCCCTCCTAAAGAGGGATGGACCAAGGGCACCAACTGCCATTCATGGTGCTGCAGGCATTAAATTTCACCCATTCGAAAAAGCCAATGCAATTGCCGACTGTTTGCAAATTCAGTTCACGCCGCACAATCTGTGCGACGATAACCATGATCGGCGGGTGGAGGCCAGAGGCTAGCTCTGCTCGAAACTGTAGACGACAACCCCCTCAAAGGATCAGACCATGTGATGTACAGAAATTGATAAATTCCTTGAAATTGAGAAAGGCATGTGGAATTGACGGCATCCCAAATGAATGCCTCAGGGACCTTCCAAGGCGACCATTTGTTCACCTAAGTCATTTATTCAATCACTGTTTTCGGCTCTCTCATTTTCCAAATACTTGGTAGGAAGCAAAGGTAATAACTTTACCTAAACCCGGTAAAGACCCGAAATTTCCGCAAAATTTACGTCCGATCAGCCTCCTGTCCACAACAGGAAAATTATTCGAAAAAGTAATTTTGAAATTACTACAAAAACATATTGAAGAAAGAGGACTGCTCAATGCAAGCCAGTTTGGTTTTCGTGCACGTCACAGCACGACATTGCAATGTATGAGGCTGGCGGACCACGTGACCCTTAATTTCAACAATAAAATGACTACGGCTGCGGTGTTCTTGGACATCGAAAAAGCCTTTGATACCATGTGGCATTCAGGATTGCTGTATAAGTTACCAAAATTGAAATTCTCGAACAGTTTGATCAAACTTATTGGGTCCTTTCTTTCTAAACGTAAATTCAGGGTCTCGGTTGAAGGCGAAATGTCTACGCCAAGGGGAGCCACAAGGTTCTGTTCTTTCCCCTACTCTTTTCAATTTGTACATAAATGATGCCCCCCAAACACATGGTGTTCACCTGGCCCTCTTTGCGGACGACACCTGTCTGTATGCGATAGATCGCAAGGAGGGTTATATTGCTAGAAAACTCCAGTGCGGTCTCAGCTCAATGGAGACCTGGTGTGAGCGCTGGAATATAAAAATTAATGAAGATAAGACTCAGGGGGTCTACTTCTCTCGTGGTCGTCGATCGCCTGAGTCTTGTCTCACTCTAAATGGACGAAATGTTCCATTTGTAAATAGTGCAAAATATCTAGGTGTAATCTTCGATAAGAGAGTGACATGGAGATTACACATGGAAATGATCGAAGCCAAGGCCTTCAGAACATTCATTAGAGTATATTCCCTGTTCAAAAGTGAGCGACTGAGCGCTAACATTAAAATGACCCTCCACAAAGCACTCATTAGATCCGTAATGACTTATGCTAGTCCCGCCTGGGAGTTTTCGGCAGACACTCATCTAGTGAAATTTCAGCGCCTGCAGAACAAGGTTCTCCGCATCACTGGCAATTTTTCAAGGCGCACATCGGTCCGCGATTTGCACATGGCATTCAAAATCCCGTAGTATATGACTTTATAACAAAATTATGCAGGAAACAGGCAGAAGTCATACAAAATCATGAAAATGAGAATGTTCGCAACATCGGACAAGGCGAAGCCAGACACAGAAAGTATAAGAGGCTTAAACTTGGCGGCGGTCAGACATACGACCGTTCAAGTGACTAGACTGCCGTGGTAGCGAATACTACTAGAAATAGGGCATAGTCTGCTGTATTGAGCCTGGATTGACAGAGGCCTTATATATATTGTACATAGAAATAGGAATTAAGATTAAATATCTAAATTTGTATGTAAATACTGACAATGGACTTACTAATACGGACTATGACTGACAAATGACAGACCCGACCTCTCGTCAGAGAGGGCACCCCAAATGGACAGGACAGTAACATTCATATATGGAAACAAATCTGGTCATGACAGACTGACTGACCGTCTGTCGCAATGTGACTTTGACTTTGACTTGGAATTGTCAGTTCACTTCAGTTCAGTTGGAGATCAGTCGTAGTTCAAAATGTCTGATGAAAGACAGCCTATGAATTGAAGACTTTATGTGTGCTGTAGTTACAGTCAGACTGTCATAAATCCATTGCCAGAATACGACTAGTGAAGACTGAGAAACCTTAGCGTGTCCTAGTGATTTCTGAAGTGGACAGATTAGCGATAGCGCTGTAATTTATTGTGATTACGAGTGACTGTACAAGGAGTGATCAATAAATCCAGTTATCCATTTAAACCCCGTCTTATAAGTCACATATACCCTGACAATATCGTGAACTTAACTCTTTCTTTATATCAGCCAAAGAAAAAATGCAAGAGAAAATTTATCAGGATTTAGTGATTTGCTAAGTGCGTGCGTACTCACACTGAACACACATTGTCTTGTTGTACTCGGCGTAGTATGGCAGACATGAACACCGTCCGGCCTGGCATCGGCTGTAGGTGACATCAGCCAGACATTCCTGGTCGTTGGTGCACTTTGAACCCAGTAGCCGGAGATGCGCAGCAGAATATGCGCATGTCGGGGAGACCTGGGGAAGTTGAACACAGGTGTTAGCCGCTACGCTTAATGAGGGGAGTATTCGGCTATGTAGGGGTAACCATATAACTATTTAACGAACTAGCTAGCTAATTATGTTACTTCTTCTGTGGTTTCACAGGCCTTTTAACTTAGCCTTAACCTCCGTAACTACGTAACTAACTCCTGTTCTCGTCTGCTATTGGGTCGCTCGGTGGTCGTGTGAGAGCCCAGCGGTGTCATTCTGTCCCACGGCGAGCCAATGGGAACTGAGGCCTACTCTTCCATTTCTCTCCTACTTCCTACACAATCCGAAATTTCCGGCCACCCAATTACTCGGCTTATTCGACCTTGAAGATGGAGGCGATATATCCCTCCGAAACTTATGCTGACAACGGACTACACGGCGTTTTATCCCAGAAGTTATTATTCTTTGTGTAACTAACCATTTGCATAACTAACTAGCTAGCTATGTAAAGTAACTACATAACTACCTGATTAATATCTTGGGGTGGGGTGAGGCTCAGTCCAGTTGGTGCATTGGCTACTATTGGGCCTATTGTACCAGCCCTGGATGGTAGACTAGAAATGAGCATTTGGTGGAATGAGAATTGACCGGGGGAGAAGGCCGAAGTACTTGGAGAAAACGTGCTCCATTGCCACTTTGCCAGCCATAAATCCCATATTATCTGGCCTGGAATTGAATCCGGGTCTTCGCTGTGGGAAGCCAGTGACTAATCTGCTGAGATATGGCACGACCAACTACCTAAGTGTGGCAGTTTAACTAAATAACTGACTACGTATTTAATTATAAAACTAAATAATTAAGTATGCAACTAATTATCTGCCTAAGTAAGCAATTAAAATATAACAAACTACGTAAGTGATCTGTTAATCAATTAAGTAAGTAAGTAATGTCTAAGTAATCAAGTAGGAAACTGTCTACGTAGCTAAGTCACTAACTCTATACAGCAGAGCACTTTCTGATAAGTTGACAGTCACCCAGTTACTCAAGAAATGACCCGCCATTTATGGACTCAGAATTATTCATTACAGCACGCCACTCTACCATATCCTGAACCAGATAAATTCACTGCACATATTCACATCATAGTTCATGACGGTACATTTTAATATTATCCTTTAGCTTAAGTCAGGGTCTTCCATGTAGTCTCTTTTTCAGGTTTTCTGCCAAAACTCTGCATGTACTTCTCTTCTGTCTCTTATGTGCTACATGCTCTGCCTATCAAATCCTGATTTTCGTTTTAATCTGAACCATTTTAGTTGACAATATGTTCGTTGCCCTAGGTGTGTGCATTTGCCAGCATTGCCCTATACACACCTTTTTACGTGCTCCTGGCACGTAGGAATGCTCAAGGAGTGATGTCAGAACTTCAGGTGACCACAAACGACGGAACTGTTACACGTTTGGCTGAGTGCGTCACAGAGGTTGACTGCTTGGGGTAACGGCCTGATTGCTCCCGTTCTTAACCTACCACAAGGTCCGTATGGCTTTGACACATATACGCAGCAGGACACCTGATTAGGTATTCTGCTGCTTATATAGATTAATTTCGTATATTCTCTTTTTCATCCTTCTCAGCACTACAGTTGAGGTCAGTGTCCAGTGGCGGGCTCTTGTGGACATTTCGGGAAGCAAGACAGGCGCTTAATTTCTTGAGAGCTGAGTGACTAACAGCGTTTCGAGAAAACTCTGCTCCACGGATGTGGATCCTTGTTTACTTAAATGGTTTGCTAATCACATAATTACTTAGCTGGATAGTCAGTTACTTAATTGGTCAGTTAGGTAGTTCAAGTTGGTTACTTCACGACTCTGTCAGTATCTTAACTGTAAAGTGGATATGAAGATTAATGAATGCGCTACAGGTGGCGGAACGAGAATTGGCAGGGGAAACCTGGGAAGACCTGAGAGGAAATCCGCCTCTATAGTCAACCTCGCCAACTTCCGAATATCTAACAAAAACTATTGTAAATTAAAATAGAAAATGCTGCGGTATGGATATAAGAATATAATTTTTCGCGAAAAACTATATTCTTACCAACGCCATTACATTTTTGCGGTTACTGTACTCTTTCTTTGCTATGTAAGCTGGAGATAATTGTAGTAGGAACTTCACAATTTGTACGCTTCACGCAATACGTGTATTATTAGTACGATGCAAACCAATGGGAATGCAGTGGACGGCGCATGTAGCTCGCACAGCATAGATGAAAACTGTAAACATAATTAAGGCTAGAAAACCTGAGAGGAAGATATATTTTACAAACTAGGCATAAACAGGAAAATAATATAGCATATTTCAAATAAACAGAGTTTGGAGGCATGGACTGGGTTTCTCTGACTAGTGCTAGGCTGTTTTATATAAGGTAATGTACTATAAGTTCCATAAAAGACTACAAGAGGGACTTAGTGTCTCAAGGAATGGAGTAAGTTAATTTTGTACGAAAATTTAAAAGTTAATAAAATTATTAATAGCGCATGAATTCGTTGTGAGCCTCACCTGGTTCTAGGGCCGCATTTTACTACCCTTATATTGTAGAGTGTTGGATGTCATGCATCTTGTCTTGCTTTCCCATTCATGGAAATGGACTACACAATAGTTCAGATCATTGCGTCTGCGCGTTGTGCTGTGTCGTCATGACAAAACAGAACAGAGCCCATTGTTACGTTAGGTCGCGCCATATTGTGTTGCAAATTTAGCGGGCAGCTTGTAACGGGATTCCACATCAAAAACAAAGCCCTATTCTTTACAACGACCTGAATATGTTCCATGAAAGTTCTAATGTTTGAATTAGGCCTGCTTTTTGGTCTGGACATTCTGGTAACACGACGCTATCCACAAGTACATGGAACCATAAGTTATGCGCTATGACTCGACGAGTGATTGGAGAGCACGGAGGATAAGTATTGGTTGCGTCACTTCCGTCTCTTGTCGCTCCGCTTGCTATCAGTCCTTGGGGTTTAAAGGTAGTCGTCCTGATTCTGCTGCATCGGCAAGAAAGGGACGTGTTAACAAGCATTTTCTATTATGGAGGGCTCCGAATTTATGTTCGTGCATTTGACTATAGCGGACCTTACTAAAACTGCATAAACAGCCATATCAGTGCTTTTTGTGAACCAAATCCTTGGATGTTAAGGAATAAACCAACGAGAAGATTGGACACGGCAGAAATTCGTCTCTTCAGAACAGTTGCGGGGTACAGAATGACATATCATAAACGTGATGAAGTACTGTCTAGGTTATCAGAGAAGAACTGGGAAAATTGGAGGCTTATTAATTTAGTTTGAAAATGTGAATTTTCTCTTTCCTCTGAGATCTTAGGTAGCCCGGACCATAGCTCAGGCGGTTAGTGGTGGGATTCCCACAGAGGCGGGCCGGGTCAAGTCACGTGGGATTTGTGATGGACAAAGTGGCATTTGGGCAGGTTTTCTCCGAGTACTTCGGTTCCCCTACCAATTCGCATTCCACCGATTACTCCACAATCATCATCATCTATCATCTGGGGCTGGTACAATAGAACATTAGTGGACGCAATACCAAATGGACTCAGTCTCACCTCATGAGAGATGTCGTTGAATACTTAGATTACAGTCTTCTGGGATGTGACGTCGTGTAGCCTGATACAAAGTTACCAACGCTTCTATTAGACTACATGAAAGAAAGATGATTTGAACGCACATACCAAGGTAACGGCCTTGTCGGTTCCGAGCATGGAATTTATCCAGGGCCTGAGCAGTGCTGACTAGCCTGGGTGTTCGTAAACGAATTGTAAAATCAGTTTGGACAGAGGTAGAGGAACTATGATTTTCCAATTGATTGAAGTGAATAATTTTGATAAAAAAATTCTGGGGCTTCTTATGCAGTAGGTTTAATTTTGATTAATTCAAATTCGGGAGGGCTGCATGAGGAGCAGGCAGCAGTAACTTGGAGCTTGGGAACCATCTCAGTATTTGCTTGGAGACAGAAGAAAACCAGGAAAACCTACGCCGAGATGCACTATAGCAGGACCTTCCGAATGCACAGTGAATTTTAGCCAGCATTTCGGCGACTAGAAAATACAGAGGCCCATTGAAGTTTCCCGAATAAGTGTACTGTTGCTCCATTGGTGTCGAGAGTACAATTCATTGATTACAGTTACATTGATTTACTGTGAAAAGGATGAGAAAAAACAATTTCTCGGAAATGGTTTCATTTTTTCTTTTCTTTTCTACCGCTAACCTGACTGAGAACGTCCAGTGATATTACGACATGTATACTCCGTACTTTTTGCCTCTCATATTGAAACCTGTGATACCTGTGCATGAAAGTATCCTGGGTTTGAAGGACTGACCACATGCGGTCAATGATCTTGAGTTTGAGAACACTGTCATTATACGAAATTGAGAAAATTTATCCCAGAACTGCGCTACTGGGAAGAGGTACCAGTGCAGTTGACCGTGGCACTTACCCGGTAATGAGACCACTTACCGGAGCGAATCTTCAAGGTTACTCACTAATTCCGAAATCACCAGAAAGGAAGCAATAACTAAGTCTCTGGTGCAGCAGAATCTGAAAGATTAGCACCGTAAAAAAAACCCCCGCAATTGACCACGATCTTGAGACACTTCCATCCATCTCCCATCTTCAAAACCTATACCTCTAAGATCCATATTACTAATTAGCTAACTGTCTGGTAACAGAGTCCGTTCGATATATCGAATAAACTTCCAGATCAATCGAAAAGGTGTAACCACATTCTTTTGTTAATATGTATACGAATAAAAAATACTAATTTTATTGAAGGGTGCAGTCTTGTGGATTGTAATGCCGTACAGTTCGGAGAAAACATCAGGATTCGGAGAAACATAACACCTCCATGTTCAGGGCCGAAGAGTGAGCCAACCGAGAAACCACTAGAAGACCGTGATATATTCACCGCCGTGAGAACCCTAAATTCAACAACTGATATCCTTGCTCTATAATCAGACACATACATACCAGGCCCGAGGAG